TGGACTAGTTAGAACATAGTGGGATAACCTCCATGATGCCTCTGAACCCTTTAGTAATAGAATTTTTTTTTTAAGTCTATGGGAAAATTTCATGTTAAATTTAATTCCAGAACCATTGAGCTCCATATGATGTGACTGGATGCAAAAGGGAGGGCATGTGACTTAAAAAAACTGACAAAAATTTATGATTTTACTATGGCTACCTCAATGACAAATGTTACAGTTAAAACATACAAAAAAAGAGATTATAATATTCTTGTTTAATAGGTCTTGACAGAATGCCGTTAATTGTGAATTAGAGTATATGAGTACATCTTTTTATACCCTTTAGCCTGTAGCGTCGCATGTTTGTGTACAGTATATGCAGTATGTTTAACAGTGAGGAGCCTTGTTCTTGTTAAATACAGACTCCATGTGAGGCCCCAGGAGTCTGTGAACAATGAAGAGACTGTGGAGAAGAGCTTTAATGTTTTTATGTATAGAAGATAAATGTTATGTGTGATTGAACTGGGGCTTTCTGACCGCAGGTAATTCCCTCTGACTTAGACTTATCCATGGGTTTCACAAGGATAAAAAACTAGGACCGCTGCCATAGCGATGAACAAATGAAACTAAATATTATATCTTTTTAATTTGGAAAAGTCCTTAAAATGTCGCCTGTAACATGAGCTGAAACACATGAGTTGGTTTAGCTTGCCCTTATGTTTCATTCTTCAGAGTTCACTAATTACAGGTTTTACCGTCCTTATTAAATTGTCAAACATAATTACATTTTTTTTTAGCTAAAATCATTTCCTTTTTTTTTTTTTTACTCATCGTTGTTTGAGACTTTGATAGTTGACCCATCAGTAAGATACATAACTTACATGGGTGTAAAATGTTACCACCTGGAGTTAGGGTTTGATGCTTTTTTTTTTTTTTTTTTTCTTGGCATCCTCATGGATTTCCTGTTGAAAAGTGCCATCCTGTTTTGGACAATAAAACACTTCCTGTTTCAAAAGTGTTATGATGCTTTTCCTTTTGGACTAAAATAACTGTCCTTAAACTTTCAATTCAATTTGTGTTAACCCTTTAAACTGTCACGTTTGTGCCAGAGCTGCAGGCAAACAGTCAGGGAGTGCAAACGAGAAAAGATAGAATCGTGGAAAATTTCTCTGGTTTGTCAGTTTTTTCAGGTTTCAGACAAACGTGACTTCCTGGTTGGAAATTGTGACATCACTAGGGAATTCAATAGCTGTGACTCTAGCAAATTATGTTTAAAATACCAGGAAAATATGTTTCTAGCGTGTAAGTTGTTACTCATTTTTTGGATAGAACTCATATCGTCAGTAGGGCTGGGCATCATTCATAGGTATCATTGCTGATACCTCGATACATAGGCCACGATATGATGCATATCTCGATACATAGGCCATGGTACGATACATATTTTGATACATAGGCCATGATACAATACATATCTTGATACAGTGCGCTTTCAATTTGATACGATATATTTCAAAACAATTTAATATGGTTCAATAAAAAATAATGACTAAATCATGGCTGTGATACTAAAAGTCTGTTAAACCACTTCTTGTGCAAAGTTCATATGAAACATAAACATTTTAATTCGCAAAACAGTGAAAATGTCAAATGTGCTGCACAAAAAAGTTTTCTTCCTTTGAACAAGCAACAAAACTGTAGCACTGTAACAAAATAATTTGGTAAAATATACCAAAACATACTCTTGGTGATATATTGATACAGCAGCCCATGATATTGGTACTGTATCATCACATTAAACAATATACGGTATAACAATATTTAGATATTTTGGCAGACCCTTAGTTATCAGTGTTAGACTCTCTGAAATAGGACTCTACTTACTATAATTTTCAACATATTTTTCAACTTTTCATCAAAAACTGCTACTTAAAAGAAACAGAAAACACACCAAAATTCTTGTAGAGGTGCAAATGCGAGAAGCAGCAAAACAAAAGCGAAAAAATGCCTTCGTCAGATATTTTTCTCGCTTTGATGTACTGTCCAAAGCAAGAAAAATATCTGACGAAGGCTGTTTTTGCTGAAACATTATTTATAAATAAAAAACCTTTTGGACATCGGCCATCTGAGTGTGCTATGCATTTTTTTTCGGCTTTGAAAAACTGCTTCTTAGTCAATCTAAAACTATAATTTATATTTACAACATGTATTATTCCACCAAGTTAAATCCACGTTAGGGAATGATTAAAACCTGTCGTAAGTACTTAAAACTATAACAGTTTATTTCAATTTGCGATAAAGTTACGTGCAAAATAGACCTATATATAATTACTACAAGTATTGCAGATCTGCCAGAGATGTGCACCAGGCTGGCAAAGTTAGGAATTCAGATCTGTGGAGAGAAATACCAACTCATAATTACAGGTATTTCTGAACAATGTAAACTTGTGTAATTCCATAAATTGTAGATAACTTTGCTGTCATATTGTGGAACATTCCAGACAAAGCTTTAACATATGGAAGCCTGCAAAGTTAAGCAGTGCACTGTTAATTTAGTCTTTGAACAAGCTTAAAATTTTCCACTCTAGTTGAGGTCCAGTGCTTTCTGTCTGAACCCTGGACTCAAAGGAAAACTATTACATAAGTGGACCCAGCCTGTGTCATTGTTCTATTGTGTGACTAGTGACAAAATCACTTTCCTTTTATTACGGAACATTCCTCTGTTGGCGCTCTGAAAGCCTCTGAGTGTTTTCAAACATGGATTCAAACAATTACACGGTGTAATTTTAGGATTAGCCGGCTTTAAGTTTGTTTGAGTGAAATCAACAGTGGACTTTTCATGCTTTATTATAGATACAACATTCTTTACAGCGAGAAGTTATGGAAATATTGGAAGAACATAACAGACAATTTGGAAATTAGGAAAAATCCATGTTATTTTATGCAGCTAAGGCCAACAGCTGCTTACATTTATGTGTTTTATTGAAGAAAAAACAATTAAATCACTGCAGCAATAACATCTAACTGTTAATCAAATCAAAATAACTTTTCATTTATCTGTTAAAAACTTCAATTGCAGACAGAGCACCAGCGCAAGTAGAAACACTTACAGCTACAAAATGCAAGAAGATATAACAATTACGTAATAACGTGCACTTACAACAGGGGTGTCCAAACTTTTTTCATCAAGGGTCACATATCTAAACACAGACAAAGCAGAGGGCTGATCGAGGGTCGTAGACTGATGCTCAATACAGTGAATAATTGAAATCTGTGCATGTTTAACACATTAGAATGAGCCATCAGTCTTTATTCATGCTAAGATCCTTAAAACCACACACTAAATATTCAGTATTTAGTTAATGCAAGGTAATTTGGGCCAATTCACCTAGACGTCTGAGGGCCAAGAAAAATTTGTCTGAGGGCAGCATTTGGCCCCCGGGCCATAGTTTGGACATACCTGACTTACAATAATTCGATAATTCCACATATAAGATTTTTTTGGTGTGTATGTCATAATGTCCATTGTCTCACTTTCATGTAGGGCCTTTCAAATGTATATATTTGTAGTCTATGTTGGGTAGAGTGGTCAGATTAACTATCCACAGGTTGGCGGCGCCTTTCTAGCACAATGCTGCTGTTGTATCCTTTGGCAAGACACATAACCCACCTCGTCCCTAGTGTCTGTACACTGGTGTATGAATGTGTGTGTGAATGGGTGAGTGGCTTCTTAATATAAAGTATATAAAATGTGCTATATAAAATGTAACTGTTTACCACTTATACATATGAATTAGGGATGTAACAATAACCGAAATATCGTGATATCATATCGTCAAAAGTCTCATAATAATATCGTGGACCATCACAAAATATCGAATCACAAGTTTTGTTGCTTAAATTCATTGTTATGGTGCAGCAATAGCTAAAATACAGGGAACTACATAGACCATGATCCTTTGCTCTGTTTCAGTCCAATCTACATGCTGGAACAATGGTTATTAAGCATTTTTAAATCTTAATTATTTGGATTATGACGAGAGAAAAGTAACTGTACTGTGTGGTGTATATCGTGAAAATATTGTATCGAGATGAATTGGGTATCATTACATCCCTAGTATGTATGCATGTATGTATGTATGTATGTATGTATGTATGTATGTATGTATGCATGCATGTATGTATGCTTGTTTGCATGTATGTATGTTTTATGTTTGTATGTATGTATGTATGTGTATGTATGCATGTGTGTGTTGTATCTGTTGTTATGTATGTATGTGTATGTATGTGTATGTTTGTCTGTCTGTATGTATGTTTGTATGTTGTTTATGTATGTATGTATGTATGTATGTATGTATACTTGTATGTATGTACGTTTGTATCTATGTATGTAGGTATGTAGGTATGCATGTATGTATGCATGTTTGTATGTAAGTATGTGTTGTATGCTTGTTTGCATGTGTATGATTTTATGTTTGTATGTTTGTTTGTATGTATGTATGTGTATGTATGCATGTTTGTCTGTATGTATGTATGTTTGTATGCTTGTTTGCATGTATGTATGTATGTATGTATGTATGTATGCTTGTATGTTTTTTGCTGTTTTTTGTCATACAGCTTATAATACTGCATATCATTGTCATTTCTCCCATGTCACCATTTTACTTTGCATAGGACATTTTTATTTAATTATAGGAATGGGACGAGACACAGTGTCTATGAGACAAGATAAACTGTGCCATTCAGTTCACAATTTTGGCTTTCCAGATTTTGTTTCATATAATTTTGTAGTTTTGTTGTCTCTGTAGCACTGCTTTTTGGTACTACAGCTTCTCAAGCTAGATTAACCCCTTATTTATTATATAAGCAAATGTAAAATATGAGGAAAGTCTTTCTTTTGAATATTATTGCACATATTTACAACGAAGGCTTATTCATCTTGGCTAGTAATGGTTTTCACTCATTATGTTGTATACACTAATTATAATGTTTGTATATTTTTCTGTTTTCTTTAGATGCGTCCATAAACTACATCCGACAGCTGGAGAACAGGATGAGAATGCTGGAAGATGAGAACAGGCAGCTCATATCACAGGTAATGTTTAAATGTCATAATATTAACAGACTCCTTTGTATTCATGTCAAATTCCTTATATCTGTGGCCAAAGATTTGAAACATTCGATGCAGATTTGATCATTCTGGGAGTACATCATGACATAGTTATTCAACCAACTGTGACGATCTGTTCCATGTGGCCCTTCTGCACATGGCTCTGAGTGTTTTCACCATGAAAGATGTCAAATTAAATGATTTTACAAGATAGAGATAGCAGACTTAATCTTAAATATTTGTGCTTAAAAATGTTTCCAGTTTTTCTAGTTTTGGTTGTTAAAGCTGCACTGTCTATCATTTTTGATTGATTGATTGATTCGTTTTTGTTTTGAGTTTGTACCAAGAGAGAAACGATAATCATACACATCCTACATATACTTTGTAAAAACAGAAAAGCACATTTCTCTAAAAGGAGTGGGAAGATGAAAATTTATATTAACCCACCCCAATTCATAACAGTTTCAAAAATGATGTGTTTGCCTATATACATGTACATACAAATATTTACAGATAGCAAAATAAATGACTTACTTTGCATACTAAATATAATTTTAACCCAGTTTTTAACTCTTTAAAAAAATATTGCATTATGTTTTAGAGTTATTATTTAATCTGTATACTTTTCACTCAGTGCTGTCACTCACCCTTATACCACGAAAGCAAAAGCTCTTCATAATTTCTTTTGAAGCTATGAATATTTTTGCACTGCTTCAGGTTTTCTCTCAACACATTTCACAGCTTGACCCACACGCAAATACACACACACACGCACACACACATATAATAAATAAATAAATAAATATATATGTGTGTGTGTGTGTGTGTATACTGTACCTGCATTTGAGGGCTGTTCTGATACACTCTATTTAAAGGGCCAAAGACGCCTCCTCACACTCATGGTGTTATCTTTGATCCACACTGAACCTGAGCTAACACCGTACACACTCATACGATGCAGAGGGGAGTGGTCTAAAGCATCCTCACTCACTCAGCACTGTGAGACACACACGCACACACGCACACACAGACTGAACCCACACACAGATACACACAAGCTTTTCCTGATGTTTCACACTGTCTTTGTTTTAAATTTACCCCTTCCCCTTATTTCATAGTGTCCTTCTTGTGTATTGAACAGTTTTTGGATTTTAAGTGGCAGTATATATTTTTGTTTGGTTTATACAAAAGCAAAGCAGTGTAAAATTTCACTAAATCCAAAAATATTAATAATTTTGATCTGAAAAACAAGTCGTTTGTGTGATCCAAGTAACCAACCTTATGCATTATTCTCACAGCATGTTTTTGTGATTTGA